CTGGTGGTGCTGTCTGCGGAAGCCCGGGGGGTCGTCGTCGTCATCGGTTGCAAGGTCCTTCCCAGCGCTATGATGTGGTGGTGTACGCACTACGGGAGTGACACCTGTCACCGACTGAGAAGAGCCAGCTGGTGTCCTCAAAGAGCCAGAAAACGTGCCACCCGACCACGCCGGGACTACCGGTTCCACCCAAAGAGTGTCCATGCAGCTCAACTTCTGAGCTAGCTTTCTATAGCTTCGCTTCACCTTCTGCATAAATAGACGTTAAAGTTAGTAAATTTTCCAAATGCATGTACATTAAAGAAACATTTTTAGAACAGACAAGTTTATGTTTACCTCCACAAAAGCCTCGAGAACGTCTGGCGCCTACCCTCTAGACTCGTGAAGCCAAAACGCTGCTTTGTTGGACATCCTTGACAATTGTGTCGCCTATGTATAGAAACGTGGTTGGACAATTTTAGTAAACATACTTAATACCAAATGGATAACAAATTGTACCATTCAAGTATCTTACCACATATTTTTGAAGCGGGGCTCTCTGTAGTTGTGTGTCGTCCTTAGTGGCAACGTCGTACACATCTTCGATCACATCTTGCTCGTCATCCTCGTCAATCGCCTCCTCAGTGTACGGGGGCTTGATATGTGTCCTCGTAGACCTATGAAGCCACCGCAGGTACTCGTCGAAGGTGTGCTGGTCGTGTGAGAGACCCACATCGATCGGCTGCCGGTCCCTATTATGCCACAACTAGATGTACGCATTGTGTGTCACGCGTCATTCCTTGGTCTTATACCTTTTCCTGCGGTCATACCTGCAACAAAACGATTGTTAGTTGTATCATACACACCTCTGAATTGTAGCTTTATTATTAATCGATAACGCATCCGTGCAATTCTTAGTTGGTGGAGTAAAGCGGTGGTGGGTAGCCTGTCATTCTTCCAAACTGCCTGCAAACCCTGATGGGCAAGTGAATCTCGACCAATGTGGAAGAAAATATGGACGTTGCAGCGATACTCGTCTGACTCATCCCTAGTGACAGGATTTAGATAGTACTGGAGCTCCGGAGCTCCGGAGCATCCCAAGGACACCAATGCACCTGAACATTTCATAATTGAGTTAGATTGTGATATAGCGTACATCGAATAAGACACATGTATGATAGTAAAGATAGCGTAACCTGATGCTGTGTCTGGACGTCGAGACCGTCCGTGTACTCCCTGTACTTGTGCCTCGCATTCCCTCTAACTAACTCTACTTGCGTCCAGATATACAGAGCTGTAGGGAGTGTATCTTGCCCGTTCCAATGCTGCATTGAACACGATAATAAATTAGCCATTAATAATTTAATCATATGTAACTGCCTCGAAAAATATAGTGAACCAAAGTACTTATCGGTAAACCAGTAGCAAGGGCCTCCCAACGGGCCATCGTTCCCAACACCAAACCTGGAGTAGGTAGGAGCAACCCCCAAGGTTCGCATACCCTGAGGTGCGACGGCAGGCAATGCATAGCTGTCGATACGTCCATGCTAGGACTGTGCTGCCCCAGCTGCACGCCGCTATGTTATCTCACGGCTGACGTAGTATGTCAAAGAAGATCCAGCTGATGGTGTTGCCCGAGGCGTCTGAGAAGAGGAAAGCACCAAGGAAGTGTCAGAGCCACACTCTAGCGAACCTATCAATCTGAGCCTCCTCAGTCTGTGGGTCCAAATAATCAAAGCGCTCTGTGATCCATGACGACGAAACACCGGAACTTTTTCTGAATTTCACTAAAGGAAATGAGACCCGATGGCTATAGGAAAATAATGCAAGTATTAAATAGGCTTGAATTGCTCACTTATTTTTCTTGGAAACCTCATCGCCCGGTGGAAGAAAGCCAGTGAATTAAGCCACCAGCTCCCTACAGTGATCGTTGTCAACTATAGCTGTCACCGGAAGTCCTCCCAACCGAAGGCCAAAGATAGCCTTCACGTCCTGCATGGTCAAGGTCATCTCGCTGCAAGGTAGGTGAAACATGTGGGTCTCAGGCCTCCACCTGTTATAAGAATAGAACGACTGTTAGTTGCCTCAAATTTGTTATAAGAATGTTTACATACAATGAAGGCACTCGTACCCGTCTACAACTGCAGTAGTAGTGCCAGGTCAAAGGCGGAAGACCGTAGTTGACAACGCGGACAAGCTCGAGGAAGCCGACACGTCGTATGTACGCGCGTGTAACGCTGGTCCCACTGGTACGCCTTGGTGTGCGTGCGGGGCCTCAAAGGAGGCAAGGCCACCTCTGCGTCAGTGTCACTCAAGATGTGTGCTTAGTACGGCTCGTCGTACTCCACCTCAAGAAGGGGGTACAACGGGTGCTGCGTGAGAGAGGTCATCTTGTTACAAATTGATAAACAAAGGGTTAGAGTATTCAAATTAACAGTATTCGAATTAACATTATATAGCATTGCAAAATTTGAACTATTTGTTATGCAACAGGAACACAATATGAAAGCACATGTATATATTCAAAGTAACATTAACAGACATATTAAACAACTTCACTAGAAAAATAAGCAACTTCTATGTATGGACTTGCTGTCCACCAATATTTCTTATTAAATTATTACAGTAGCTTGTCTACATTTGCTAGAGTAGCTCATTATAATTTTAACCTAGGGATGAGTAACCCAGTATAAGATGAACTGCTTGAGAACTATCATGTGTGTCATACTTAGTCCTATACTCTATACTAATATGTCTAAAAATATAGGTTGTCTACTTTTTTCGCACAATGCTATGATGTACTGGTAGCTTTAAGCACAAGACTAGAATGCTGTTGAGATTACTGTGAGAAATATGAGATAGCTTGAATAGTCATAATTTTGCCTCATTTGTCACTAAGTTTTACGATTTGTGTATGCTGATAGCAGTACGATATCGACAATGTTGTGTATGATTTTGGAGGTTCTAGTGCTTTCAATATATGCTTGAGTAAAATGATAATTTGGATTAATGTTTCCATGTAAGAAAACAAGCATATAACAATTTAAATCATAAAAACTGAACCAACCAAATTTATCGCTATATATATATATATATATGTATGTCTAGTGCACAAAAAACACATAAATAGATTTATATTTCACGTGTCTTTTAATTAGATATTTGTTTTTGCTATGATTAATAATACACTGTAAGAAAATTAACAATTAAAGTATATAAATAATAATACAATGTAAGATAAATTAACGGCTAAAGTATATAAATAATAATATAATGTAAGATACAATGTAAGATAAATTCACCTCAGCGAGGGTTGAACTGCGTCGAGGGCGTCCATGGCGCGGTGGGCAGCTGCCGTGCGTGGTCGGAGGGCGCGGCGGGTAACCGGAGGGGGTGGCCCGCCGACGTGCGGGCGCAGCGGGCGTCCGGTGGCCGTGGCACGCCTTCATTAAATGGCGCGCGGCGGCGGCGTCTGAGCGGCGTCGGCGTCGTGTGGCCGGCGGCGAGGCGCGGCAAGTGGAGGCGGAGGCGGTAGGGGCGAGGCGCGGCGGGCGGAGGGAGGAGGGCGGCGGCTCGCGGGCGATATTTATTTGGTCCTGCAGCGCCATGCGCCGTGGCGCGTCACTGCCGCGCCAAGATCGGTGGTCGCGGCAGACCCTGCCACGTCACCGGTCAGCGCCCCGGTCGTCGCCACGTCACCCCTATCATCGCGCCACCATGCATGGCACGGTATAGGCGTTTCGCTGCGCCATGGCAATAGACGCGGCCAAAAGTGTTAGTTTTGAAAAAAAATTTAAACAGTATTAAATTTAAAATTAGTTTAAAAAAGTGTTAAAAATAAAAAAAACCGAGTCATCACGCACGAAAAGGACACGGCCGCGAAAAGCACGCGAGCATCAGATTCAGACCCACTCTGCTGCGGCCCAAAAGCCCAAGTACCCAAGCGCCCACCGCCGAGAAGATTTGGATGCGCCACCGGACCCAACGCATCCCCCTCCCCACTTTCGTCTTCATCTTCCCCTCCGACGCCAGCGCCACGCCCTTGTTCCCCTCGCCTCGCCAGTCGCCACCACCGACCGCCAGGTACGCTCCTCCTCCCCTCGCGCCCTACGTTCTACGAGGCCTCTCCTCCCTCTCCCTCTTCTCTACCACCCGCTGCAGCCTCGCGATTTGGTTTGGTTCTCGCCCGGTTGCTTGCTCTATAGATCTCTGGCCTCCTCGGGGCAGATCCTCCACCCCCAGATCAGATTAGTTGGCACCACCTCGTATTTGCCACGGTGGGATGCTGGGCATCCTCGCGGGCAGCGTAGACGTTTCAGGCGTGCCGAGTTCACCGGCTACTGTACAGTACCGTCGTAGTTCGTGGTATTTGAGATGGCCAAGTTTGTGAGGAGGAATTGTAAGGATGCCTTAGTTCAGATCCTTGGGTGATGGTTACTCCCGAATTAAGCTCACTACTCACTACTCACCACAGGTGGGGCTTTGCTTGCTTGTCTCAACTATATATTTGCAGGATGCTTCCAATTTCTGGGCGAGTTAGGAATGAGGACTAACTAATTCCCTGCTTCCCGAATTAGAGGCTTCGTAGTGCATAGCTAATTTGTTACATTACAGGTTTCCGTAGGATGCTTTTGCTCCTCATAAGTGTGCCTAATTGTGTATGCCTGTTGGGTAAGAGAGTCCGTGTTATTCTTGCACACAGAAATTTCCCTGCTAGTTTGGTTCCTATGATTTATAGCGGCAGTCTAATTTCAGCAATGCAAACAAGTGTGAATGGTCTCAACTGCGAGAGCAGAAAGATTTTACAGTGCGTTGCTCTAGGAAAAAGAATTAGGATCTAGGTTTCTGCACTTGCACTCTTGCAGCATACATTCAGTCTATTCCTGTCCAAAATTTTGTGCTTATGTAGTCACGATTTCTTGTAGATTTTTGCTGCCTTCTTATATAAACATAACCTAAATTGTTGTTTGGCTACAGGTTTCCTCACCCATGTTCTAGGTGCTGGGCACTTTTTGCTTCCGATGGCTCGGGCGCTGCACAGTCCCTGTTTTATGGCTCCACTGTTGTGGGCCGCGTTGTTACTGGTTGTCGTCTCACCGGGCGATGCGTTCTACTTGCCTGGCAGCTACATGCACACATACTCCCAAGGCGAGTTGATATACGCCAAGGTGAACTCTCTCACGTCCATCGAGACGGAGATGCCTTTCAACTACTACAGCCTGCCCTACTGCCGTCCCAAGGGCGGCATCAAGAAGAGTGCTGAGAATCTGGGTGAGCTTCTGATGGGTGACCAGATTGACAACTCGCCCTACCGGTTCCGTGTGAATGCCAATGGGTCTGTCTTCCTCTGCACCACAAAAGGGCTTAATGAGAATGATGCGAAGCTCCTTAAGCAGCGCACCCGCGATCTTTACCAGGTCAACATGATGCTGGACAATCTGCCCGTCATGCGTTTTACTGAGCAGAATGGTGTCACGATACAGTGGACTGGCTTTCCTGTTGGTTACTCTCCTGCCGGTACCTCGGATGATTATATCATCAACCATTTGAAGTTTAAGGTCTTGGTCCATGAGTACAAGGGTGGAAAAGTGGAAATCATTGGCACTGGAGAAGAAGGATCTGCTGTCATCTCAGAGACGGACAAGAATGGGATGTCTGGGTATCAGATTGTTGGATTTCAGGTTGTGCCTTGCAGTGTGAAGCGTAATGCTGAGGATTTCTCTAAGCTTAATATGTACGACAACATTGACCCGGTGGACTGCCCTGTGGAGCTTAAGAAATCTCAAGTGATCAGGCAACAGGAGAGGATTACATTCACTTATGACGTTGAGTTTGTCAAGAGCGACATCAGGTGGCCGTCTAGGTGGGATGCCTATCTGAAGATGGAGGCTGGCGCCAAGGTCCACTGGTTCTCTATAATGAACTCCCTCATGGTGATCTTGTTCTTGGCTGGAATTGTCTTTGTTATATTCCTCAGAACTGTCAGGAGGGACCTGACTAGGTATGAAGAGCTCGACAAGGAAGCGCAGGCTCAGATGAATGAGGAACTATCTGGCTGGAAGCTTGTAGTCGGAGATGTATTTAGAGAGCCAACTTGTTCCAAGCTGTTATGCATAATGATTGGTGATGGGGTTCAGATCTTGGGCATGGCAGTCGTAACAATCGTTTTTGCCACACTTGGGTTCATGTCTCCAGCCTCAAGAGGAATGCTTCTTACTGGGATGATTGTTCTATATCTTTTCCTTGGTATTGCAAGTGGGTATGTCAGTGTTCGGTTCTGGAGGACTATTAAGGGCACATCTGAAGGTTGGAGATCAGTGTCCTGGTTGACTGCCTGCTTTTTCCCTGGTGTCATGTTTACGGTCCTTACTGTCCTAAACTTTGTGTTGTGGAAAAGCGAGAGCACGGGGGCTTTACCTATCTCACTATTTTTCACCCTCCTGGCTCTATGGTTCTGCATTTCTGTGCCATTAACCCTTCTTGGTGGTTTTCTTGGTACAAGAGCGGAGAAAATTGAATTCCCTGTTCGGACCAATCAGATCCCCAGAGAGATCCCTGCAAGGAAGTATCCATCGTGGCTTCTTGTCCTTGGTGCAGGAACACTGCCATTTGGTACCCTGTTTATTGAGCTCTTCTTCATTCTATCGAGCATCTGGCTTGGAAGGTTCTACTATGTGTTTGGTTTCCTGCTGATTGTCCTGTTGCTGCTTGTTGCTGTCTGCGCCGAGGTGTCCGTTGTACTAACATACATGAATCTCTGCGTGGAGGACTGGAGGTGGTGGTGGAAGGCTTTCTTCGCCTCTGGTTCAGTCGCTCTCTACGTGTTCCTCTACTCCATCAACTACTTGGTCTTTGACCTCAGAAGCCTGAGCGGGCCTGTCTCTGCAATGCTTTATGTTGGCTACTCATTCCTCATGGCATTTGCAATCATGCTGGCAACCGGAACCATTGGCTTTTTGACGTCATTCGCCTTCGTGCACTACCTCTTCTCATCTGTAAAGATTGATTAATGTAGTCCAAGGTCTTCAGACAGATTCGTTCACAGTTGTGCGTACCTGAGATGCGTAGTTTGCGAGCTGAGGTGATTTTTGGTAACTAGAGACGTGTTTAGTTCCAAGATGGAGTGCAGTATGTATCTGTTTCCAGTTCCAATTGCTCTGAGTTGTAAGTGCTCCATTTGTTCTAGATACTACAGCCTGGCTTTGTTAGAGTTTAGTAGCAATGATAGTAGGTTTACTACTGTGTGTGTTCAGCAAATTGTAATGGAGTGGAAATGGCATGCTTGTTACAGGCTTTGGTCAGTGAAAATTGCTTAGTATTTGCTATCTTTCTTCAGATTGACATGATCACTTAATGCTAAATTGCTATCTTTGCTACACTGGATCAGCCGAAGAAGCCATTTCTAATCCCTTTTTTCTTGTTTGGATGTAATCATTGTCCGTTCTGACCAGTTCAGGGGCTCTAACCAGCTCTGTGCGCAATTAAGGTTTTAACTGTGTTAGTTGATAGGCTGCTCTGAAGTGGGTCTATAATCCGTCCACCTGAGCTTAAAAGCTGCCTCTGAAGGAACCGTCGAAGCAGGCACAGCTAGAACATCCTTACGTAAAACTGAACCTGGAGGCATCCAGTGATGAAAACCTTCCAATGTGCATCATCGCCTTACTACCAGTGAGCCTCCCAGGCTGAACAAACAGAAATGAAGATGTTCTTCCTTTTATCATCTCGAGTTCAGGTTTGATGAACAAACAGCTGCGTCATGCCTTAAAGTTGCTGGAAAGTGCTATGTTTCCTCCAAAACAACAACAACAACAACAACAACAACAATAATTACATCTATGGGCAAATCTATGATGCATCTATGGGCAAATCTGAATGCCATAACTTTTGTTACTATGTTCCTTTAGATTTCAATGCTGCAGTTGCTGGATGCTTTTTTGCTATCTAAACAGTTTTAAGTCCACTTCGAGCAGAAAATTCTCCACCATTTACTAGTGCTGTGATTATATTGGCATGAGTTATATCATCAACTGTTTCCAATGTTTTGCTAGGGGAAAAAGCAACATTTATTGTCCCGACGTATGAACTAAAATCTGCTGCTGGTATTTTACCTTTTTCTGATCATTTTTGGTGTTAATAAGGTAGATGTTTCTTAGTTACCTTCAAGATATAGGGAAGCATGTGTTCTGGTTTCACCTTATTTTTGGCTCTAATTTCCATCTATATTTTTGAGATAATTTCAGTCTGTCATTGTGTGATGCGCGGCCCGTACATTTTTTACGCGTTTACTATTTTGAGAAACATTAATGTGTGGATTTCTGTAATCAACTCTGTTCCGATTGTAAATCATTCATAGCAATTGTTCATTTCCATGCCATCTTGTCTCCAACTTTTATATTTTCTTCCAGCAGCCTGTCTAGCATTCTCTTTTTGAAACCTGGGAACTCAAATAAAGCTTTTATTTCCTACTTTAGGCACTAGTGCCTAGTCGAACTTTATCTGACTCCTTAATCCTCCTCTAGGCTTATGGTAAGAGCTTGAACATGTGTTCTTTTTTCCTTTTTCATTTTGGTGTTATAATTGCTTTCTCAGGAGCAAAAACTGATAATTGTATTGCCCTTCTGTAGTCTTTTAATAATCAGATGTGACAGGTTCATGGTTTTGTTGCTGCTATTTACCACCATGATGCAGCACATGTGATTCCATGTAGAAGTACCTACAACTCTTTTATCAGTGTTTTCATGAGCTAGCATTTTTTATTGCCAGTTAAAATTTGGTAACTTGCAATACTTTGTGGCCTAACACGAGCTGTATTTCTCCAACTTTTTTACTGTTAATGTTACTTTGTTTCAACATACAACTGACTAAGATTATATTCTCCAGATCTGCCACTCTACCTTATTCTGGGCATGCTTTGCGGTGTTGTGAGTGTGTCATTCAGGCAGTTGGTTGTTTGGTTCACTAAGACTTGACTTGATAGGAAGAAGTTGGCCTTCCTGCTGTAGTATGTCCTGCTTAAGGTGGTCTTGGAGCAGGTTTAATAGCTTTAGGGTACCCAGGAATATTGTATTGGGGTTTCACCAATGTCGATGAGATTCTACATACGGGTAAAAGTGCTTCAGCCCTTGGAATCTGGCTCTTGGCTCAATTAGCTTCTGCAAAAGTTTTAGCAATGGCACTTTGCAAAGGTTCTGGTCTTGTTGGTCGCCTTTATGCTCCAACTCCAAGTTTGATGATTGGGGCTACCGTTGGTGCTATTTTTGGAGGTTCAGCAGAAGAATTAGTAAATCTGCGATTCCAGGTAACACTGCTGTTGCACATCCTCTCTTATTTTTTGCCAGTCAGTTTAACGCTTGATAACTCCAAGAGTGTGCTAACTTTCCATACGATTTAGGTGGGAATGGCTGCTACGCTGACTTCAGTGTGTTCTGTTCCACTGACATCTGTGCTGCTGCTCTTTGAATTGATTAAGGATTACAGAATTCTACCTCCTCTAATGGTAGTGTACATTGGGTTTGCAATTTTTTTACTGCACCATAATTCAATATATTCATAATTTTGTGCTGATTAACAGGGAGCTGTTGTTTAGCAATATGGGCCCCATCTGTTGTAAACCAATCTGGTAGCAAAGATACATTCGAGGCAACATCACCTCGCCATGGCTATTCGTCACTGCTGCCTCCCACAGATAGGAATGAGACAGATTGGAGGCGACAAGATGGAGACGATGTTGAACTCGCAATTCTAGATGTTGATCCCTACCACTATGGTAGTAACAATGAGGAGATGCTTCTTGATGACTTGAAGGTTGATAATTAAAGTTATTCTCTTTTTTTTGTCTGTAGAAAGTTAAATAATCAATACAATTGTGAAATGTGATGCTTGAGTTATTTTGCAACTTCCTAACAATCACTCTTCCAGGTATCGCAAGCAATGGCAAAGCATTATGTGAAGGTCACACCTACATTCACCATCGAGGAGGCAACAAGGCTTATGCAAGAGAAGCAGCAAAGCTGTGTTCTTGTTGTATATAATGAAGATTTTCTCGAGGGAATTGTAACATTAGATGACCTTTGTTGTAAACGATTTGTGCCAAGTGAAAACTCTGATAGTACCCAGGCAAATTCATCGACCTTGGATGTATGTAAACTGCTCATATTGTGGCTGCAATTCTAGTTCATGTTATTTACTCATTATGTTAGCAATACAAACATTTACTTGGCAACTTCGCAGGTAAATTCTTCTCTCGTGTCATCATGCCTCACTCGAGGTTTTCAGTTCCATGGCAATGAAAGAGGACTGGTGACCCGCTTTCCAGAAAAGGACCTGAGTACTGCCAAGGTTCTTATGGAAGTTAAAGGGATTAAACAACTTCCAGTGGTCAAACGTGATGCTGGCCGTAGAAATGATGCGAGGCGTAAGGTCCTTGGCCTTCTTCATTATGATTCAATAGGACGGTGTTTAAGGCCTTGCTTGATGCGCATATATTCATCTCAATCCACATGTGTTGAAGTGGAATTAAACTAAGTTCCATTTCACTCCACTCTAACACACGCGGATTGAAGTGAATACACATGCATCTAAACAAGGCCTAAGGTGATCCTTCTCCCATATATGTGTTTTTGGTTTGATTACTTTAGTTGTCTTATCTAATAATCCACTTTTTTTTTCAATGTTAACATGTCATGTTTGCTTTTTTTTTTTAAATGAGATAAAACCAAACAGTAATTGACTTCCACATGTACTGTAACACAACCAGTGTTTTGAAAACTTGGAAGTAACTGGATGAAACTGGAGGTGATCATGTTTTGGTTTTCCAGCATCCATTCTTCAGGTCTCAAATGCCCTGTAGACCTGTCTTATCATTAATTACACTAAAATTCTTAGAAAACCTCGAAACATGCAAATCTAAAATAGAATTTGAGAGGAGCAAACGGTTTTGGGATCCAGATACCTCGCACAGAAACTGTCGAATTTGAGAGGAGTTTTATAGGCCCAAAAGTTTCTAGCACACTAGAATACTACCAAATACCCACAGTTTCCGTAAGGATTTCAGCATTTGACTGTAACTGAGCAAGAGCAAAGGTATAACTGATTGACTACCTTATAATAAACCCAAGCAGGATTTCTATAATCTCCGCAATGCTTTCTCTAAAAATTTAGTCTGTCTAAGGAGTATTAAATATTCCTCCTACATCACTCTCATTCCCAAGATTGATGGTGCCAGGAATGTTTCTGATTTTAGGCCTATTTCACTGCTGAATTCTTCAGTGAAATTAATTACCAAAGTTCTTGCCAACAGGTTACAACCAGTTATAACCTTTCTGATTCACAGGAACCAATATGGCTTCATCAGGAATAGGACAATTCAAGATTGCTTGGCCTGAGCCTTTGAGTATCTTCACCTCTGTCACCACTCAAGAAAAGAAATTGTGATCATCAAATTGGATTTCGAGAAAGCCTTTGACAAAATTGAACACCAAGCTATGCTCACTCTTATGGAAGCAAAGGGTTTTGGTTAGAAATGGTTAGGGTGGATGCAATCTATATTCTCTTCTGGGACATCAGCAGTACTCTTGAATGGAGTTCCTGAAAAGACTTTTCATTGCAAAAGAGGGGTAAGGCAAGGAGACCCTCTCTCTCCCTTGCTCTTTGTATTAGCAGCAGATTTTCTAAAGTCTATGATCAACAAGGCCAAGGACTTGGGTCTACTCAATCTCCCAATCCCAACCACAACAACTAATGACTTTCCTGTTATTCAATATGCCGATGACACTTTGATTGTGGTAGAAGGAGATGCCAGGCAGCTTTTTTTTTTTGAAATCCCTGTTGAATAGCTTTTCCCTCTCCACTGGGCTTAAAGTTAACTTCAGCAAGTCAATGATGGTCCCCATAAATGTTTCAGATGAGAAGCTTGATATCCTGGCTGCAACTTTTGGACGCTATAAAGGGAGCTTGCCATTCACTTATCTTGGTCTTCCATTAAGCATTGAAAGGCCAAGAGCCCAAGATTTCTTACCTTTGGTAAATAAGTGTGAAAGAAGGCTAACAGGAATCTCCACCTTTCTGAACCAAGTTGGAAGGCTTCAACTCACCAATGCTGTGTTCACTGCTCTTCCAACTTTCTTCATGTGCTCCCTTGTCTTGCCCAAGAGCATCATTAAACAGATTGAGAAATACAGGAAGCACTGTCTTTGGAGAGGCTCAGATATAAATGCAAAGAAACCCCCAAAGGCAGCATGGAAGATGGTATGTGTGCCAAAAGATGAAGGTGGGCTGGGTGTGATTGACATTGAAAAGCAGAATAAAGCTCTTTTGACAAAGAACCTGCACAAGTTCTTCAATAGACTTGACCTTCCCTGGGTAAATCTTGTTTGGGAAAAGCACTATAAGAATGGAAGCTCCCAAGCCACATAAGAAAAGGATCCTTTTGGTGGAGGGATAACCTGAAGCTGCTCTCTGAGTTCAAAAACTTTGCTAGGCCACAAATTCAGAATGGTGAAACCTCCCTATTTTGGCATGATTGTTGGGCTAATCAACCCCTGGCACTGTCTGCCCCTGAGCTCTTTTGCAATAAACAAGCTCATCACAGTTCAAGGGCATTTAGTCATGAAGAACTTGCAACCTTGTTTCAACTCCCCCTTTCTCAGACTGCTCATGTACAAATGCAAAATGTTCAGCAACTGATTGACTCTTGGGATCTAAATGAGGAGAATGATAAATGGATCTACAGCTGGGGATCTGGTATTTTTGCCTCTGCCAAGGTGTACAAAATCCTTGTTGGTCACTCAGAAGTTCATCCCACTTTTAAATGGCTTTGGAAAAGCAACTGTCAACCGAAGCACAAAGTCTTCTTCTAGCTACTAGTTAAGGACAGGCTAAGCACCAGAAATATTTTGAGAAGGAAAAACATGCACCTTGACTCTTATGATTGTGTCCTATGCAATAGCTTGACAGAAGAATCAGCAGATCATCTTTTTGTGGAGTGTCCCTTTGCTGCAATGTGTTGGGACCTAATGGGTGTTGAGATGCCCTTACATGGCGCCTTCCCATAGCTGACCTCACAGCTCAAAGATCAACTGAATTCCCCTTTTTTCATGGATGCTATCATCTTGATGTGCTGGACAGTTTGGACTGCAAGGAACGATCTCATTTTCAAAGGAATACAGTTGAATTTGACAGATTGCCGAAGAATATTTCTAAAGGAACTGTCACTGTTGCAGTACAGAATAAAACCAAGTCAAGAAAACCAGTTTAACTCATGGATACAAAGTCTGGTCTAAGTAGCTGGCTTGAGCTTATTTTTTTTCGTCTCTTTCTTTGTCTCTTAAGGTTGTCTGTCTGTATTGCCTCCCTTCTTCGTGTACATCTGTAACTTCCTTGTTATTTGTTTTTTAATAAAATTACTGTAGGGACTTCGGTCCCTCCAGATTCTTCAAAAAAAAAACTTGATGCTAATGTTTGGGCTGTTACCCATCTGCAGGGAAGAGCTTGAGTGGTGGAAGGCAATATACCAGAGAGAATTTCCAGCAGACAACAGCTAATGGGCACTGAATATGCAGAATTGAAGTTCTGTTTGTACCTTGTAGCGAAGAAGATACGAAATATATAAAGTGACATTCCAACAAAACTAGGGTTAACTTAGAAACACTGCTATTAAAGAGTCCCCTTGTCGAAGTGTGAAGTCTTGAGCCTTACCAAGATATGCATTTTGTATCAAACATATATATAAGAGATTTAAGAGGTGATCCATATATAAGAGATGATGTGTGGTCTGCTGTTGCCAGATTTTGCTGTGGAGTGCTGAAGTTCGGACATGGTATTGTACAGCAACCGCTTTGGTTGCCCTTGTTCAGTGCAAGAGGTTGCTACTTAAATTATGGTTGTTGGAAGAGAGAAAAATTACAAGGCTTATTTTTTTCGTTAGAACATGCATTTGATCATCCCACTCTGTCGTTACTTCCTTGGAGCTAAATAAATGGTGTCTGGAAAACTTAATTAGAGGCCGTTCGGTTACACCGTTCCCGGCCTAGAACGTCCAGGAATCATTCCTACGCTATTTAAATTAACGAAGAAACAGTATGCCCGAGAATTATTCCCACATAACCAAACGTAGCCTTAGCAGTTTTAAATTAAATAATGTATTTGTTCTACCATAATATTACTTAAAATACGAGTAACACACATTTTCTTGTGGCTCATAATTGTTGTTATATGAAAGCCTTATTCAAAACTGTCTATAGTTACTATGACTGAATTGGATCATGCAGGACTCCCTACACGGAGTCACTATGATTTGTGCAAACCACCATTAAGGAAAAGGACATCAAAGATAGTCAAGTGTTACACCAAGAAATAGAAAGGAGTACGAAATTGGGAACCAATAGAAAAAAACATGAAACACTAAATTCAGCTTAAGTCGCCCAAGACCATATATCATAGAGTCACATTGCAGCTGAAGTCACCAGAATCAAGCATGATCCAAGTCAGTAATGTTCCATCAGAGGCGAGCCAGGATCGATCATAACATTCATTCAGGGAAATAGCATAAGTAGTGTTCCAACAGCATGCCATGGATAGAAATGGAGCTGCCAACTGAACTTCCAGTCGGATCCCCAATGCATGTCACCGGCGCAGAGCATGCCATATCCCACCCAAAAATGTTGCTTGCCAGCTTAAGTCCAATGCTGCTAGTTAAACCTGGATCAAATGGAAATTTCAGCACAACAAAGTTGCATTAGTAAACGCCTGTCTGCATAATGTGGGAGGGTTAGAAAGATCAACTGAAATCATGTATCGTGTGGAAATGAGTTCACCTAATAAATTAAGCAGCTGCAACCACTTCCATCAGAGTTTAAATCGGACCGTGCGGCGGCGGCAGTGGGAGCGGTGACGAGATCCTAACATATGGGTATGTTAAGCCTCGGGATCAATGGTTCCCGACCGAAGAGACCCCCCCAACCGACCCCTCTAGGATTGCTCGGGGGCTATACCCATCGGGTACGCTCGCGCGCACCCTCAGACCAAGAAACCCGGCTGCTCAGGGCTCAGGGGCTCGCTCGAGCCTTAGGCTCCCGATCGACGAGAAGCCTGACCCTGATCCTTAGCTCTTGCCCAGCCTACGACGCCAGCCAAGACCCGGGATCAAGAAGACACGCCCTGAGCCATCAAGGCTCGTGAGCTCTCCGACGCTGCACCTTGGGCGCGACTTCGCCGGCCGCTCCCCCGATAGGGTCACGCACGGGGCGTGACACAAGAAGACAAGCTCCTCCTCGGCCTCCAAGGGTTCGGGGGCTTCCGAGCCCGCACGTCAGCCCCTCGAGCCAACCTCCCTCACCACCAAGAAGACTCCAGAAGGCACGCCTGGGGGAGGCCGGTCCAAGCCGACACAGCCTGACACTCAGCGTGTCCGAACAGGCCAGCCGGACGATGCCCTGGGCTTCTTCGGCTCCATGACATCGCCACGGTCCACAGAGCACTGTTGTAAGACCCTCCTAGACTCCGACGCTTGTAGACCATAGGCTCAACCCCCCAAACCGCCATGTACCCGACCTATGTCGATATATAAGGGGCAAGGTCGGATCCTAGAGGGGGAGGACGATCCTAGACAAATCATTCCATTCCTCACCGATCCACTGCTGCTCAGTACCGAGAGCAGAGCAACCCAGAGAGGGGCACCGAGAGCTCCTCCACCGCACCCGTCGTCTTCCTCCTCTCCGATAAGGGGAAGGCTCCACCGACGACGAGGCAACCTTAGGATTAGCACCAAGCTAATCCCCTACCAAATCTCTCTCTTCCTCCTATACACTCTGTTGTAACCCCCCGATTTCGTGTGCTCTTGAGTATAAGAATCATTAGATGCTGGACGTAGGGCATTGATCGGCCCGAACCAAGATAAATGTTGCGTCCTCCCTATGATTCTTGTGTTCTTGAGTCCACCCAAGCCACCGAATACACATACTCTGACACCGACTCGAACAGCAATACTTGCCGTGGTTCTGACCCCGTGACAGCTGGCGCACTAGGTAGGGGGTAGCGTCAAGTGTGATTCAGGCTCTACGGTGGCCGGAGCCACCCACCTCATCGCTGGAGCAAGCGGCACCACCCCAGACGACGATGTCCGCTTCCCTGGCAAGTTCTTAATCATAGCCGACGCCTTCGCTCCGGGCTAGGTCCTCAACTTCGGGAGCCTGGCCTACGTCGCCGACTGCTAAGGCGAGTTTCAACCGCTCAACGGGGCCACGCCGGCGGGCACTGGGCCCCCGGTGTCATCCTCTCCACCGGGCCTTTTAGGAGCAGGTCTCTCGGTCCTGGCTCGGCGGATTCATCATGACTCAAGCCTGTGCCTGCCCTGACGAGCCAGCACCGGGAGTCCCACATGGTGGTTGACAACCCGCTCCCGAGCGGACGTTACATGTGCGGCGGTGCACCCTCAGCATCCCCTCGAGCGAAAGCACCACACAGAGGAAGAACGATGCGGCGAAGAAGCAGACATGCGAACTCGACAAACTGTTAAGTCCTCACACCTTAGAGTCCTTTATCGTTCATTCCTTGCTCCTTAGATCATCGCTAGGAGGGAGACGCGCTCACCCCACTCAAAATTGACTTGCTTTTGAGCCATGAACCTTCTCACCCTGGCCTCATGGTTGGGGGGTAGAACCACCCTGTTTTTCCTCTCGAGACCACAGAACGGGATAAGCCAATGCCCTAACGCCGAATGGGCATGACCCTGGCTAACAGAGCTAATGGCTGATGCCCTCGGGCTCACAGGAGGAGGCAGGCGCCGAGGATGCTCCCCATTGAGACGAATGGGGGACAGAGTGAAAATGATGATGAAAGCATAAAATTTGGCGGGCGGGCGCTCCCCCGGCGCACCATTGTTTGGAGGGGCAAGTCCCCAGAATTACAGCAACAAGTTTTACAACTAAATTCTTGCGCAGTGGAGCGGCAGGCGCATCCACCTCATCCGGGTAATCGTCCACCAGCAGCGACGCGTCCTCGATGATGTTTGCGGCGGCGGCAACCAGGGGCGCCATGGCATCCTCCGCTCTTTCTAGGGCCTTGTCAGAGGTGTCTTTAGGGATGCCTAGCGCCATGGTGCCTAAGTCAACCTAGGGGAGCTAGAGCTTCGTGAGGATCAAAGCCACTGTAGCGCCTTGATGGACTGCGCACCTGATGACCTGAGGGATGCATGCCATAAGGGAGCGCACCCGCTCTGCGAGGTTGAGGGACCCCGGGGCCGTCGGAGGGAGCAAGGTGTCACACGCCTCTTGTGCACCAGCAGTGAGCTCTTGCAGCTCTGCCCGCGTCGCGACAAGCTCCTGGCCACGCTCAATTAAAGCAGTTTGGCCCGCCTCGGACACCTTTGCCTCTACCTACAGCTCATGCCATAGGCGGTGGCACTCCGCGCGCACCTTCTCCGCCTCCTCCTCTAGAATGAGGACCTTGCTGTGCTCGTTCGCAAGCACCGCCCGCTGTCTTGCACCATACGAGAAAAGAGGACCGAGCTCATGGTGAGCGAGAGCGGGAGGCCCCGCCCCAGAAGCAAGGGAAGGAAGGAAGAGGGAGGACACACATGTGATGAGCTGTTGGGCGTTGTGGAGCTCAGAACGGGCAGCGTCCCTCGCGGTCTTCGAGAGACCCAGGGAAGCCCTCAGCTCCACGATCGTCCCCTCGGCCGCCCGGTGAGCATCCTCCACCTCTACAACCTTCTGACCGATCGAAACACCTCAGCCAATGCTTCCGTGACGTGCCTGGCCTCTCGCTCGGCCACCAGCTTCCATGACGAGCATCTTCATTAGCGTCGCCACTCGAGCATGCGGTGGAGGGTGAGGCAGTAGGGCGGGTAAGAGTCTCTCACCCCTTTCGGAGGAGCTGGAGGACGCCAACGAGGCCACCCTCTCCCACTTGTGGACAAGATCCGACTTCTTTTGGGAGAGCTGGAGTTTCACCTGCAACAGCAGCAAAGGGAGTTTAGACAACCCATCATATTACCCGCCATTCAGCAAATTGCTATGCCTATCCATACCTCGTAAGAATCGTACATCCCCTATTGGAGGCTGAAGAACTCCGCCTGGCCCATCATGCCGGAATGGGAGTCATAGAAGAAGGTGATTAGCTCATTGACGGCGCCCCATAGCTCCATCAACCCCAACCACGCGTCCGCCTTGGGATCATCGTTCAGCACGCATGGCCTTCTGACTGGCTGTGTGGAGGGGCCCGGCATGGCCGCGTTCGAGGAGCCGGCCTCCTCGCTCCGCAACACCGGTGGAGGCTCGGGGCGCAACCTTCCCCCGATCCCACTCCGGTTGGGCGAGAGTGCCCTTGGGTAGAGGGTCCGACTCGACGGTGCTAGATCCCCCCAGACACACTGGGGCCCCGCCTATTGTCCCATCTCCGACGATGCCCTGGTCTGTGGCCATCCCCTCAGTGGGAGCAACAACAATGCCCTCGCCCACTTGGGGCGCCAGCAAGGGGCGACGACGCACCTTCAACATGAGCAGCTAGAGGGGCACCCTTGCCACGCCTGAGGTCCCCACCGAAGAGGACTCCCT